AATTAACTACTGTATACATTATTAAAAAACTTTAAATCATCACATAATATATCGCTGACATAACTACTGGGGTACCCCTGTCATTAACTGAAAATATATTACGATATTCAACATGCTTGAAGAAAAGTTTAATGATACCATCGAGACTTGCCGGATTCTGTAGCACTATATAAAACAATAATCTTTGTTTTGAATTTTTATAGTGGGAGGAGTAGATATTTCACTTGAATAAAGGCTTGATAATTACAAGTCCATATATCAAAGTCTTCTTGCAAAGTATTCATAGAATACTTGTTATCTTTTCTGTTGTCCATTTCTCTTGATGAATTTTTATTTTCATAGTTTTATAGCCATTCGTCTTCATTTTCTTCTTTGATAATTTAAAATAATCTAGATAATAATGAGTACCGGACTGATCATGCTCCTCTTGTTATATGATATACTATATCAAAGGTCTTGCATGGTCTCTGAATCTAATTGTTGTTTAGAATTATTAAGTGTAAAGATCCATGCGATAGTAGAGTTATAGTTTATAGAAGATATTTTTAACAAAAATAGAGAGAAAGATAGTGCGTCAAAGTATGAAAAGCATACCTATATATAATAATTTTAATATACATACAGTATATGAAAAGATCGCATCAATAAATTCAGTCGCGTATATAGGATAAGCAATTAACACGACATAACATGAATCATTAAATATGTTCTAAAAATAGATGCACCTCTAATCACAAATGATATATATGTTACTAAAAATAAGGTGTGCCAAAGTCTAAAAATAAGTGTGCCAGCCATTCCATCAAGGATCGACAAGGATCTACACACTTTTATTAATAAAAATTACCATAAAAGGCAGGTGTGCCAAAGTGTGCCAAGGTTGGGGGGTAATATTAAAGAAAAAAAAATCAATAATAAAATAATATTATATACTGTTATAAAAGAATAGTAATAATATAATATATGAAACCATATTGAACATTGTAATGAGAATAAATGAAATTATAAATAATATATACTAAAAATATTTAGTTTTTTATTTAATATTTAATTAATTAATTTAATTAATAAACAAGTTTTTTAAATAAAATATTTTTAAGAAACTAAATCACATGGAAGTATAAAGTTAAAAATTATACAGGGTATATAATATCTTTTTATTTACCGTATTTTTATGAACAAGCAACAAAATAATTCCGAACAAACGTACATCGATAAAACATGTGTTCAAAAAAAAAAATCTCATTCTTTCTTTGATTTCGATTTCAAAATTTTTAGGTGTTGAATGCTATTTTCCGTTTATACAAAAAGTTAAAAATTTTGATTTGGCATTATAATTTTCTTTAAATAAAATACCAATAATAAAAATTCATCAATGTTATTTTTCTCGCTCGTGCTCTCTTGGTTTTTTTTCGTGATACGATCGTCGGCCACGTGCGACCGAATTAAATTTACCCGCATCATAGCATGTGAAATACACTTGGCCACCCCAAAAAAGAGAAATATGCGAGCCGTACTTCAACGAGTCTCGAGCGCAAGTGTCACGGGTAGTTTGAATCATCATAAAAAAAAATTGTTCGTAATCGGTACCATAATTATGGATCTTTAATCCATCAAAAATCATTCATTTTAGTAAATGGCGCTATCGTCTCTTCCATAAATCAAGGGATATGCGTTCTTCTCGGTATCGCCAATGATGATACCCAGGAAGATATGGATTACATGGTGAAAAAGATTCTTAACGTTCGAGTCTTTGCTGATGAAGCTGGAGAGAAGTGGTGGCAAAGAAGCGTGAAGGATGCCGGATTGGAAGTTTTGTGTGGTGAGCATTGAAATTGGTTGATTCCAAAATATTTAGCGAAAAACTAATGTTATGGTCGTATAGTATCTCAATTCACGTTATACGGTAGTACAACGAAAGGTATCATTACCCGTTTATTTTACATCAAAAAATATATTCTATTTGAAAATTTCCTACATCTCTTATGTAATACTACATAGGCTACAAACCAGACTTTCATAATTCCATGAAAAGCGAGAGTTCCAAAGAAATGTATGCCGCCTTCTTAGAACAAATGAAACGAGAATATGTTGAGGATCGAATTAAAGGTGCAGAATAAAACTATTTGTTAAATGAATCTATTATTTTTCTCGATTTTATTCAGCTTAACTATTTATATATTATGTTTAAGACGGAATCTTTGGAGCAATGATGCAAGTCAATATTGTTAATGAGGTAACCAGATGTCAATGCACTCCGCACTACATTAGGCATTATTAAGCCCTGTAAAATCTTGATATAATAGGGTCCTGTGACCTTGGAGTTAGACTCCCGAAAATTTGAATATGTTGATAAGATGGAAGGAAAAAAAACGAAAAGTGATAATAAGAAGAAGAAACAGGATGAGGAGAAGAGAACGTGAAAAGGACAAGGTGTGTTCCTTGGTATGAATCAAGTAAAATAGATTATGCACAAGAACGCAGGTTTGCTCAAATTCCATTTAATCAATATAATTCATTATGATGATATCGACTAATCTGGATTTGATGTAAGGTAGACCGTGTCACTGTTAAAGTATAAAGATAAAAATTAGAAAAAACGATTTGATATAGAAAACAATTCAAATACAGTACATTGGAAGTGAATCTATCAGCGTCAATCACGTATTTCAAAATTCTAATTTAACGATTTATTCCAATATATCCCGATAACCTTGAAAAAAACAGAATAAAATAAAAACAAAACAAGTAAATAAATAAATTAATTAATTAAAAAATAAAATAAAATAAGAAATAAAATTGATATTTACGCTTTTTCCCAAATAATATGAAATGAGTGCATCTATTAGAAATTTCTCGGTATTCTCGTTTGATCCTATTTTGTTTGAGGCCGAAAGATTTTTTTTTAATTAAAAAGCTGACGAAGTTTCCAAGCGTAGGATTATGATAATTTACCATAGCCAATTTGACATTTTGAAATTTCTTAAATATTACTTGTCGAGCTAGATGTGAATCAATTCCAATTTTCTCTAAAGCTTTGTAATCCATATTTAATGCATCGTCCCATCCGATCTGATTAAAGCTTGAAGCGAATCTTGATAAACCTACGGAATCTAGCAACGCTGGAATATCTGTTTTAATAAAATCGATCCATTTAATTCCTTTGATAATTACAAATAATAGTCAGTGGTGAAGATCGAACATTCTGACGCACTTTTTTCTTCTACCATTTTTAAATCAACATTATAAAATGAATCGATAATTTTCAAACGTTCTATGGGATCTTTTATCGTTTCTTCAGAAATTCCTTGGACTTTCAAAAGTTGTTTTGGGAATGGCAATACATAATTTTCTTTATGAACCTGGTGGAAAAATAAGAGAATTTCTTTATTGAAGAAAGGCAAATGTCTTTTAAAGTTACAGCAGTTTATTAAAAAACGCACCTACCAAAGCTTTTTTAATGGTCCAAAAATGTTTTACCAATGACAGTCGAACAAAGTTTGAGTTAACTCCGATCTCTTCTAATTTATCATAATTCATTTCTACGATGTCTCTCCAGTGCATTCCTGCGAAACATGATGCAAAATCCAAGAATCCTAACCCTTTCAACCAAGAGGGAAAATCTATGATTAATTTTTGAAGAGAAAAACGAAAATTATTAAGTATATTTTGTGTTTATTTTACAAGTGCAGAAGAATATGACGACCGTCATGTAACAAAAAATAAATCAAAGTGCAAAGAAACCTTCTAACAAGTTCCAATCAACATCACGGTATGTATTAAGGTAAAATTGTTTTTCTTCCGCGGTCATTTCATCATTTCTAACGTAGATTTTTTTATTCAGAGTTATTTGTTTCCGTGGGAGATCCATGTTTTTGATTTTCTATCAAGGTAACCACAGATTGTCAAATAAAAATACTTCAATGACTAAACGGAGAAACCATGGCATTACCATGACTTTCTTGATCCTTCGAAAATTTCTGAGTAGCACTTGACGCGTAGCACTCGGTTTAATGCCCAACTGTTCTAATTCATCATCATCCATTTGCACGATATTTTTCCAATTCATCTCTTTAAAGTTGGGCGCAAATTGAGATAATTTTAATCCTTTTAGCCAGGCAGGAAAATCTAATCGTTCAAATTATCAACTTAATTAAAAAGATTTGGAGGATTAATTCCTGCCAATGATGTTCGAATAAAAGAAAAATTGATTCTTATCCATGCCTTCCAGTAATTTGAAGTCGACTCTAACATAAGCGTAATAGAGTTTAAATCTTTCCTCTTTTGAAAGTTGACTTTCCTCCTCATCAGTTATATTTAAAAGGGGTTTTGGTAGTGGTAAAAGATAATCTTCTTTAACGGCCTAATCAATTGAATTGAGAGAACGCTTGATACTTGGCGACAATTATTCTTACACATTTAAAAAGGGATTATTCCTTACCAGAACTTTCTTGATTTTCCAAAAGTTATCCAACATCGCTTTGCGAACTTTAAATGAATTGACCCCTATTCTTTCCAAATCATCGTGTTTCATTTCGATAATCTGTTTCCAATGAAGTTTATCGAAATTTGACGCATATTTGCCAAGTCGCAAACTTTCCATCCATGCTTTGACATCTATTTCAAGGTGAACGATTAAATATGGAATGATCGGACGAGAGCATTGACAGAGTACATATAAGTACTAATAGTTATATAACCTTTCAATAATTCAAAGTCAACTTGCCAAGGAGATTCTATGGGATGTGGTCTAATTTTGGCCAATTCCGCTTTGATCACTCGTTTTCTCTTAGGCTTTCTGTCAATGTTGATCATTCATTTTGGTGAATGATTGATATCCGGTTGTTTGTACGTGAGAGAAAAACTTACGGTTTGTCAAGACCAAGTAAGGAGTTTATG